GTACCTTTCAGCAATAAGAAAAGCGTTTTCGCAGACGATTTTAATTCAATTCGATTATTCTTGTTGTTTATGGTGTGATTAACAACCAGGTATTAAACATACCAGATCACACCTAACTAATATATGGCTCACATTTGAATTAAGTTGATACTTTCTAACAAGACAGGTTTCCTGTATTATATTGTATTACACTAAAAAGTTGATTTTCAATGGCTATACTCCTCAGACATAATTATAACTCAGTTTACCGCCTATTGGACAGACGACAATATACAATCGAAGTTGAACGAAATTTTTTGGTTTGATTTAATCCTAAAGAAGTACTGGTAAACTGCCAAACTTCGCTTCATCTCTACATCAAAAAATCATTTATTGGTCCATTTAAAAAAAGGAAATACCTTAACTATCACTATACCCGAGGCTAACATTAATAATCTTTAAGGTGCTTTGCATATGCGCTATTAACTTCATTCAAACAGCCTATCAAGAATGTTATACAAGGAAGTATATATGAAATCATAATTCTGCGTTCCTACATACTATTCCGTCCATAAAAAGAAATCATAACTTTCAAAATATCTGAATTTAGGCTTTAAGTTGGTGGCAAATAGTTGACCCGCTTGTCGACAAGTCATATGAAATCGAGCAGAAGGATTCATCAAATATAATTTCCTGTTTAAATGTCAGACGCAGACCAATAATATCATCACAATATCGCATCGTACAAATGCGCAGCGCAATTCAATAAAAAGCAGCCATTTCCAATTTCATGAATATGCTATATGTTATATACAATACATATGCAATCATTACAATCATTACCACAAAAAGATTGAACCAAAATTTTTTTGATTTGATAAAATCGGCGAAGTTTTCCAATATTTTAACTTAATAATATAGAACTAACTAAAAAGCTCATTGATACAATTTTAAAAGAATAAATTCTCTGTTGGTCTTGTCTTGTATAACAACCACAGCTTTAAAAACCATAGGACGCCAACAAAGCCGACCGACGAACATCGCCAATTTAATGTTATGCTTTCCCATCGACAGGATAAGTGGGAATAATCAAAACAAAGAAAAGGCGAGATATATTTGAAGTAGGCTTAACTTATGAATTGTGAGGACCAACGCGAACAATTGTTTAAGTATAGGTGTGGATATTTCTAACATCTACCTTCCCCCGAAAGTGCCGTGCCGTACCGTGATTTTTAGAATGGGGTCGTCACGAAAGGATACCTAGCCCATATGTCGTTTCAATACCACTTAAATGGTCATCAAGTGCGATTTATCAATGATTTGAGCTTGCAGAATGAATGGACTGTATATTTACGTTCATACAAGCTATAAAAATTATCTGTGCTCGCTTGAGTTGCTCGAGTATAAATAAAGTAATATGGTTTTTGCAGTGAAAATTTATGTCAACAACGAAACCTGAATGGTTCTCACAAGTACGCCCTAATTTTGAATATACAGAAAATCTTGCTCGAAAATGCCGTGATATTGGTTATTCCCAGTTACCTTTCTCATTATAGTATTCGTCTATCTCTGCATCAAAGGTTGCGTCTGCAAACAAGATCACAAAACCTTCAAGCTCTGACTCAATAGGGAAACATCTAATATGAGTTAACTCATACGGATTGAAAGCTGGGAAAGCGAATTCATGATTGCGTAGCAAATTAACTTGTATTTATCAATGAGTCGAGTTTGTTCGAATATATTACGGTGATTAACGGTCGTGTCTGATGATTATGAATTGACGGAAATAACTCATGCAACCTGAGACAGCGACGCAGTGCAGTTGCATTCGTACCCTTTCAATATTTTGTCGCCGACAGAATATCAATATCCATTGATAAACGGCCTAACATTGGCCTTCAATGAAAAAGCTATACTAAAAAAACGGCCCACATTTGATTTGACAAAAGATAGTTTCTAACATGGATATACTTTGCAAAACGAGACATGTCGATCAAATTTAGCAAAAAGCCACAAACTTCTACGAAATTTATGGTTCGAAATTTGCTAATTAAATTTATTTTGATTCAGATTTCGGTGTATTTTGGAATAATTTAATCGTTTAAATAAGACTGACGTTCATGGTATGACTGGAAATGAGTCTCGCAAATCACTTAATTCATACGAGCATTTCAATCCCTGACGCTCACTCAAACCTTATGAATATGGCGCGCTTAACAACTAGAATACACTTGCTATCTTTTATCCAACGAACTCTAAACCTCGTTTATGTGAGTCATATACATCCTTCCAGTCATGAATAAGATCCTAAAACAAAATAAGTAGCAGCCAGCATATCAATGAAAATTGTCACGTTGTCCCAACATTTACCAATATGGAGAAATATCATTGTCAGCAAGAAAATTTACAAAAATGAACAGAGAAGTTTGCAAAAGTCAAGACCATCATTCTGTTCGTCATGAGAAGAATAAAATAACTGAAGGGCGACTTCCGCGTGAAATTTATAATAGATTCATGAATGGCTGTTATCGTTGTAAAAATAACGTCAGTTATTCACACCAGTTGGCGCTTATGTGCGATATCTATTAAATAAAAACTTATTTTCCCTCAAATTCGCGAGCTGAATTGTATTCGCTTTTTCAGCTATTTGCTAATATGCTACACTGTTTCCTGATAACTACCTACATATTCTACCATGTCTAGTGGCATGTGAAATGATTTTTCAACCTCAATCGATATCGTACACCGTGGTGATATCGAACAATAGAGTTTTCACGACACCATGGGACCGAGGCTCAGCAACAAAAGGGTCGGCATCAGGCAGATCTCCTTACATAAACATTGTACTGTATTGTAGCTCACAACGAAACGTGGAGGTGAATGGAATAAATATGAAGCCAGGGTAACGGAAATAGTAAACCATTTACAGAAGCAAACGCGTTAAAAAGATACTGGTAGCGTGCACTCGTTGATGGCTTAGCGGGGGCCTGGGAGGGCATCCTACTTGAGAGGGAACCAAGCAACCAATAAACCAAGAGTAGCGCATATAACACAACATCTGACTAAATCTTAGCCTAAATACCTCTTTACACAGAACGCTCACGACCAATGATACGATGTATGAAATGGTTAGAATGTTATATAATAGCGTAGTTTTGACATGTAGAATGGTTTGTGCGTGCCACATACGAATGGTGATGTATTAACGTCACGGCCATACTCGGGTGTATATTAGGTAATAAAGTTTGGGAAGGAATCATTGTGTATTTGACTTCGGGACACCGAAAACATCATTACCAGACATCGTATACCAAGAAAGTAATTACATTAGCCATTCTTACGTTTAAAAGTTTTGAGAAAATAACCTTATACAAAGGCGTCGTCAAAACATAATATTTTGCTTATATCGGTTCAAGTTCCTAACTAAGTTATAAAACAATCATCAAGTATGAGTCAAGAATAATGAACCAGCTTCATCTATGGCCAATCTCGATGGAGCGTGTGTGAAAAAGATTCAATGGATTTTCGATGTACATGGTAGAGAATAAAAACAGGAAACACATTCCGGTTTCGTGAAGTTCAGTGGAACATTTTTAGTAACGTAAATTGGCGATTTCAATATCATTCCAAGCTAGACGTAAGCAAGTAATGCGAGAAAAACAATATGCTTGAAATATTCTTTCACATTCTAAGTCAATGGCAAACATGGTATTCAAAAACATATAATGGCAATATTTACGTTACAATTTCATTTTTTTAAGAGTTCGTAATTCTGCACACAAGTTTAGTTGAACTGATTCAACACTAATGGCTCTTAGCTGGGATTCTGCCAAAATCCTAGAATATGAGTTAAATTTCCTTGACCTAAATCCTTGATTTAAAACAGCCAAACTGTAGAATTCTCGGCACCAAATTCTAATTAAAAATTCTGTCTGTTGAATACAGTCCACACACACTCACAGTCACAAGTACAATTTCTAATCCATTTGTAAACTTAAAATGAACACATCACCTAGCATATAGCTCAATACATAAGAATATCAACTTTCAATAGAACTTCCTTGTGTCCAACTAGTACCCAAAGTTCGATATGCCTAATTCGTCTCTAAACCTACATGGTGAAACTACACGCTACTGGGGACTAGGGCGGATTTACACGTAATATCCGCCGTCCTGAACTTGCGTACGGTTGTAAATATACCGCAACAGGATTCGTCGTACGATAATACATTCATCACAATCATCCATACAATATCATAATCAGGAAGGACGTGACGTAATAGGTAGCGTATTAACTTCAATAAAATGAAGAAACACGGGCCGCGAGTGTGTCGGATTTAAACCATCCGGCCAGGACCGATCGAGTTTGTAAAGGATTTTTTCGCCACTAGAGAAACTTTTCCATTCAAAATGACTGATCATCAACCGTAGATTCAAGCTTGATCGTCATATATACATATTTTTTCAGAAGTAGGGGATAACCAAAACAAACGCTCTATCAAAAATCTAGACTAGAAACAAGACGCCGAACTTTTCTTAACACACAATAAAATACAGTAAAACTAATTGATTGAATTTCCATTACATCATTACATGGTCAGGTATAGACGATTTTACAAAAGTGGTCTCCAAAACATTTGGAGATTTATACACGTACCCACCCAATCGAAACAATCGTAATATTGACGTCGCTTATTGCTCAATATCCTACTGTATGTAACTAACGAAACCAATTTTTAAACAGCCTCTAAACACCACTCTGGACGTGATGCTATTGAAACTGAAAGACAATTTAATATACCCCGATCTCATAAAGTAGATCAGTGACTTCTTCGAACACGAATTATTTACGTAAACAATATTTGCGGTGAAATATGACGCACGTGAAAACACACTATAGCGACTCCATGCGGTTACGTGTTTCGCGGAAGAAAATAGATTTCACATTCCTGCGTCCTCGAACAAAACAAAATCATTCTGCGGGAATTAGATAGTCAACAAATAAAAAATAAATCACGTACTTTGTTGATGAGTGAATCTGGAACGTCTGGGCTTTTTAATCCATCATCAGGAGGGGGTCTTCGTCTTCTTCCATCGTTTGTTGATTCTAAAATAAATAAGATGAAGAACGATAAAAAAACAAGGTCGGCAACTCAAAAAGAGCTTAAAAGCTGGATTTGATACACTTGTGGTCCGCAATGCCCGCTAGGCGTGTTGATAATAGCTAGGTAACTGAGACCTAACCCTTGGGGATAACCCGCAAATCAGAAATGCTAACCAACAAGGCAAGGTTTCCCCACCCAAACATGTAAAATAAAACACCATAATAAATCAACAGTTCTTGGGGGCTATTTTTACTCGTGATATCAAAAACATAGAAAATCGAATACAATTTGCAAGCATTTCCAAAGCGATATATTTATTTACCAGCTTAGTTCCAGGAATTAGGGTAATTTCAAAATAAATACATATCACTTAATGTACTTAATGGAAAAAAAGAAGTTTTGAGAACTGAAAAATTCTGGCATGTGTCCAAAAATGATCGCCAGAACGTTTATTTGGCGCAAAGACAAAAAATTTATTCTCAGAGCAGATGAATAGATGGCCTACTTGCACTCGGTAACTGATGTGCGTAATGTACTGCAGCCTGCATAATCCCGAAGGACAGTAACGGTAATGTCGCAATTATGGTATTTAACCGCAAAGCGTAATAGACAAGTAGACCACATGCAAGTGACAGCCACAACCATTCAAACGGCTGACGACAATTGCCGTTAGTTCAAGTTATATTACGGCTATTCTCGTGTTTGACAAGATAAACATGTTTTGTAATGTATTATAATATCGCTCTCAAGTAGAAAACGTACCGAATGAACTCCTGGAAAGCGAAGTGCGAGATTTCTTATATCTTGGTAATGTCAGGCCAAGATGCATTGTTAGCTTGCTATGCCCATGATTAAAACAACCGTTGTATTCTTCAGAATCGCTCAATGTACCTTCCATGTTTAACCTAATATATATTTGACGGCACACACAACCACCATAAGATTCTAGTTAAGTAAAATGATAATTCGAAATGTAGGAATTCATAGAAAATATTTACTCAAAACCTTGATCAGACCATAAATAGCCGCGACTCAAAAAGATTTCATATTAAGAATTGAAGTAAACTCAAAACTGTTAAAAGTTGAAATATATCTGCATCTGAACAATTAAATGCTGCAATCGTGACTGGAAGCGCGTGGTTCGATTTTTTTTTTTAAATGTTTTCGATTGTCCAATTCAAACTCAAAGACGAAATCAGCCAACAACTCTGCCTTGAAAATTCCGGTGGCAAACAACTAAACTTTCAATAACACTGTATTAACTGCGAAATATATTCCGTCACAACAGGGCCCTTTGTCATGGGTCTCGAACTACTGTTGGTTGAAGACATCTGTAACCCAAAGGTGCTTCTTGCTAACGGTATTGCTTAACGATATAGATACTTTGCACATTAAACGCCGATTCTGACGATACCCAGTTCACCAATCAAATCGGTTATCAAATTATGTACATTAATGCTTTCCAGAATAAAAACTGCTCTATGGCGTCTCAATTAAAATTATATTATTCAGAGTACCGGGGTATACTGTATCAGGCTCAAAGCTGTCGATGCCAATTTAGTTTATAAAACCATTCTCAAAGTACACAAAGCACTGAGCATACAAAAGGTACTTGAAATCTTCTAAGCTTGCCAGACTGGCCCGATATCTAAAATGGTACACTAGCTTGCCAGAGTCGAGAGCAGTTTGTGGTACCCTTCCCTTTTTCGTAATCGAGAATCAATAGGTTGACGACGTCATCGACTGGCTTACCCTTGCGTGATTAGATTAAAACTTTTGCGGCGAACGGCAGCTTATCACGCTTGGCCAAGAATCCGGAACAAATACCCACACTTGACCAACCTGCCGCAAAGCAGTTATTTAATATATGGCCCTCCGACGACAAAGGGCAATTTAAAATTGGTTACTTTGAGCGAAAGAACGGTCACGAGAGTACAAAACGGATAATGATACGGCACATTATCCGCCAGTTCATATGCAGATGACAACATTAAAAAGCGAAGTCTCGCGAATGGGCGACAAAGATTATGACGCCATAATCCCAAATGCAAATCCCTGCAGCAGGTTTGCGGGTATATAATATGTCACGTGACTTCTTTTATCGATGTTGTTTATTTTTCAAAGTACTATGATTATAAGTAGGGATATCATTAAGTGTTACAAAGATTTAAATCGACGTGCAGGTGACGCTCGAGCAGAGAAGGTAATCTAAATCTGTGGGCTTAACATTGCTTCCCATGGAATCTTATTCAAAGCACTATTCAAATAATACTACGCCAACGTACTGCAAAACTACGAGGTAAGCGATGACGATAATAATAACAAAATAAAAAAAATTCTGGAAAATTGCCAAACTAAAACTTGAAATGGTACTGTAGTAAAATATAGCGCATTCGTTTTCCAGGTTGAGAAGCGACGACACAATCGGTACTTCCGGTTTTCCATCCACTCATCACACTTGAAAATTTCTGCACTAACTAGCACTTGACTCTCGCTAAGCGACAGTCACAATTGAAAACTTGCCCATTAAAACCTTAAAATCGATAATAGAGAAAAGGGGTCTTCCTCTTCAGGCATAGCTGTAAGTGACAATCTAACAAAAAACGAGAGTGACGTTTCGGCGTTCGTCAAACTAAGTCGTGCGTCTTTACTGGAGAAAAAAATATAACACAAAGGCGAGTGCTCGGTCAATTACTTTCCATTAGTGCAGCATGCGAGGAAAACAGAAATGATATCCTCGTTTTGGGCTTAATCTTACTACGTGGGTATATTCCAAACAATCGGGATACAGAGCAAAACTAGTAAAAGACTCGTTTTATGTCAATTCTACGGATAGACTCCGACTCAAATAAAGTTGGAAAGTAAAATTGAGGTGCTGATATACAAATAGTTATCTTTGAGTGAGACCTTTTAACACAAAATTGAACCGCTGGAAATTTTGATTGAGTAAACGGCAACAGAATTTAGTATCAATATCGCTAAAATGTCTGTCTAGGAGTTTTCACAGTAACTTGTAAAATGAGTTCATTACAAAACAATATATTGAGAGAAAGGGTACAAATAGGCGATTGGTGTGAAAACATAATTGAAACGCAAGATGAATTTATAGTACCCAAGATAAAAATAAACACAGCCGAGTAGATATAACAACAAGAAGGAATATTTGTTATCAACATTGTGACATCGTAATTTATATTGATAAAACGCAGGCCACCGTAAAAGTCAAGTTAGCAAAGAAGGGAAAAATCCAAAATAAAATGTTATGTTTTCCCTTCACAAATAAGATATAAATCATGACGTACAAGGTGCTTTTGGTTAATTTTTTCCTCCCTTTTTACTGAATTCAATATGATAGTTATATTTAATCGCAACGACACCTTTACCTTGTAAATAAGAAGTGTCGCCGTATTCTGTTTCCGATGTTATTAAAATGAATTAAAGTAGAAACGTTATGCTAGATATGATTAGATGAAGGACTATTTCAAAATATTCATCGATTATAGTCTTTTTGGTAGAGTGAGTCCAAGTTTTCAGTACGATACGCGTACTTCCTTACAAGTGTGAAACAGAGGATAGGAGCGGTTAAAACACCGTTCAAGTCGACATGATGTTTTCCATGGATTCAATGCTTTATTCCGTGCTTACAATGTAAGGGTGAACCTGTTACACTTTGGACCGATACCAGAACCTTGGCAAATCACAATTGCCACGAGGTTTATGCACGTGTCTCCTAATCATGGTATTTTGGAATCTTTCAGCGACGAAATGGGAAACTTGAATTGCAGTAATATTGAAATTATTCCAATGTGAAATTATCAGACAGGGTCAATATAAATTCAAGAATATTCAAAAGTTACCATTATACTGTAATTCTGGCACTCAGCATAGAACATATAGGAAAACAAAATCAGCCATTAGGGTATCTGACATCCATTAATGCATTCGACACGACCATTCGGGTGTCATCTATGCACATTTGATATATCACACGCATCTCATCATACAGACAGTCGTGTTTCAATCTACTTAGTACTAGACAGACGTTAAAAATATTAAACAAAAGATGACAGGTGTACCATTAATATGAAATTATTCAAATTAGCGCCACTATATCATGAACCTTTATCACCAACCGTAGGTTAAAAATAAAGTTCCTTGTAGTGCATATATTTCAATCACGATTGTATTTTACCACAACGATACATCGAAGGGATTTTTTCTACTGTTTTCCCCAAGACAACATTCCTAGAATGTGGTAGATTGCCAAACATTTAAATCAAGCCTGGTTCGGTTCATATTCCAAACAATACTAAAAATGGACCATACCACAACTGGAATCAACTGCCTGATAAACCTATTTTTATAATATTCTGGTTAGATTATATATATACCAGAAAACGGTTAAAAAAATACAAAATTACAAGTAACTTTGTATACAGGTATATTTGTATATAGTTCTAATGAGATTGTTCTTAACAAAGAAGTTGAAATATTCTTAAAAAATAAACAAAGGTAAAGCCACCTTCATTTGGTGATATAACAGACGGAGCTCGTCGAATCGAGTTTGTTCGACGTCTGCTCGAACTTCTGTTTCTGGAATTTCGTCTCGAATTCGAACGTCTAATTCCCATTCTTGTAGACACAAACGTAAATCCTTTTGTTTTCGTTTTTCGGCCACTAGAGGCAACAGAACGCGGGGAACGTATCGTTCCACCGTCCGTACTGCTCGGCGGCCGAGGCATCTTCGATTTACAGAAATATTGTAAAAATTCTTATGTGAAATATTTTTTTCTATAATATAAATAAATGAAAACACTGAATCAGAATTGTTGTCAGTAATCTAATCAATGCTCTCCTAACATTGATTTTGGATTAAGCCTCAAAACATAATTACGACCTCTGTTGGGCAAATGAGGCCTAGAAAGAATATAATCCTTATAATTATACGGAACACTGCAATTAGGGAAGTTCATATCCGAATAGTAAACTATTCAACACTTTTTTTTTGGCATTCATGTCCAATATTCTTAATTGTTTAGCATTTTGACACATTCGAGGATTTTATAAAGAAATGTCAAACTCGACTGAAAACACTGTAGTTTCGATAAACTGCGGTCCAAAAATATTATTATTTATTTCATTTCAACTAAATTCTATGATGGATATCTATATATTATATCGAAATAAATTCCAGCACAAGCATAATATTCTACAGGTAACATGCAACTAATTTTTCCCTATAAAACGAATAGCTATCACTGAATAAGAAGCCTACCTATTAAAACGTATTGACTGTCACTTTATTTGTTATATAAAGCTATGAGACATTTTTCTAAAATTATCTTCCACCCACATAGGCAGGCACCAAGTATTTGATACGTAGTTCAATTATCATAATAAAATTCTGAGAAGTCAACACCGTCTCGTCTAATCAAATCAAAACTATTTACTGATCTGCATTGAAATCAAACAATTTGTTACTAAATGCTACCTTAAGGCTATTGAGTCACATAAAAACACAGTAAAAATCAATGAAAGTCGTCAGAAATTTATCACTATTCTCACAAATCATAGCCTATGGTATTCACTAGTTTAAAAGTGTTGAATTTCAAGTAATAGCTACAAATTTTGCGAATCCAATGATTTGTTCATTTTAAATATAACCTAAATCAGGCCTGCGGGCATAATTCAAGGTGCAATAAAGTTAAAGAACGAGCGCAATTGACAACGTAGTTTCAATTAAATGTTGAATTATTAAATGTTAAATAAAAGTGAATCAAAACATTTAAAGGAAGGCAATAAAAAGACAAAATGAAGCATTAAAACGAGTTTTTCAAGTGAAGTAATTTACGCTGAACCCTGACAGCACGGGGTGCCCAGTCTCAGTAACATAATAAACAAGTCCCATTACGCATCTGGTAAACAGATAAAAGAGTTAATTTAATCAAACTTAAATCATTTTTGGAATGAAAATATAAGCAGCGTTGAATACTTGGAGAAAACCTTCAATTCGTGATACAGAGGAATTTTCTTACTTATTACATTTAACATCATGCGTAATTTCATAATTAGATGCAGGAAAAAATGGGCGAAATTGGATTCACCCGTACTAATAATTTGAACATATTGAAGATAATCATTCATTATAGTATATGTAATAACACGGTAAATCTCATTGTCCACTGTTAATAAAATATCTGAAACCCTTTTTTTATTCGCTCATCTGCCAATGAACTCGTACAACAATCACTATCATTTTCGGGAAAAGTTACCAATATGCTCAGATAATCCTTTTCGTACAAAGATTCAACTCCACTGTATTCATGTACCACAATAAACGCCTTTCTTTGATAAATCTTTGCCGGTATAAGCCTGGTTTGAATTTTAGCTACTGAGCCTTATCGAAGACAAATCGATAAAAAGCCGCAAATGGCAAGAAGACACTGATTGATAATTCTGTATAGCACATTCAAACAGTTTAGTTTTCATGCCCTTTGTCTCACCGAGCATGCAAAATTATATACATGTACCACGCATGGATGGTAAGTAAACTGTACTGCCAATGAGACCACATGCTTGATCATGATTGTTTTCGAAAAAAAAGTTTGCTTCGTGTAAGTTTACGTGACTTTTTCACACTTGAGCAACCGTTGTAACGCAAAATCTGACGTAACCAATATTGCGTCATCGGCAGCCGCAATTCGCAGTTCATTTAGATTGATGAACCTATCAGGTGTGTGTGAAAAATTTGGGGCATTTCGGGCGTAAGCAAAAAAAAAAGATGAATGTATTCATATTCTCCTAACCTTACTT